AAGGGGATGTTCAATTGCCTTCAGATGGGCATTGGGTCTCTTTTCTGATCCCTCTCGTTCACATTAAAATGGTTGGGTTTTGGGTCTTCTGGTGCCTGATTCTATCGACACCTCGTGATCACACAGGTTGGTGAGCTTCTTCCATGTGGGATCTGTTGCTTCCTTGCCAGATGGTTGCCTGTTTATCCTCAAGCCTTTAGGAATCCAGATGATATATCTTCCAATAGCCAGACACCATCAGCTTTCTTCACCACATTTGCTTATGCACCTATTTTGTCTTCAGCAACCGTGTTGGAAAGGTGAGCATCACATAATGCCAGGTTATTAGAACAAGTGTTCTTGCATTGAGGTAGGACTTGAGTGGAGGCAATGCCAGTCTATCTTAGCACATAACCTATAAGTACATAGACCTGTATCCCTATCATTATATATTAGTATATTTATATACGTACATGCCTATGTTTATACCTCTATAAATGTCTTTGGCCTCCTAGTTCTTTCATCTGTTTTCTTTTACTTTCCTCCTGTGGGGCATTTTCTTAATATATTATCACCCTTTGATATAAAGCTCTTTCTTATCCATGTATATCTCTGGATTTCTCTAGTCATCCTGTCTAACACACTGACATGCTCAGATCTTTACAACACTTCGTTAGTGTCTCAAGGCATGAGTTTATGATTACTAGGTTAGACTATAAAGGTACTTTCAAAGGGCAGAGCTAGGGCTGTAAGGTCACAATTTCAAGAAGGCAAATGTTTTAACACTGACTTTATTAACTGGAAAAGTTTGTTTATTAAGTTATATTAGTACTTTGGAGTTCCTGCATGGTAAATGTGCTCACTGTGAAAGGTTAGAGATTTAAGTCCACCAAGAGGTCCCTTGGAAGTGGTCTGGCAGTTGACTTCTGAAAAAACTCCCACTGAAAATCCTTTGGAGCACAGCTCTACTCTGACACACATGAGGTTGCTGTGATGTGGATGGATTCTACTTCAACTAACTATTAGGTATCAGAGTCTACCCGCAAGGACAATGGAGGAATGCACAGGACCAGTAATCACTATGATTTCGCAAAGTGACCATTTTCACAATGGGGTAACAGAAGACCATGTTATCTGGCCTTGAAACCAGAAAAATAGTTTCTTTTTTATTATATGACTTCTGTTCTTGTGTTCATTGCTCTAACTCTATGCCAAATGTGTGGTCTGTAAGTTTATAAGATCTAATGGCATGTTTGAGGAGGTCTGGTTGCATAATGGTTGCACATTAGGCTTCTAATTGCAAGGTTAGTAGTTTGAAGCCACTATATGCTCTGGTGTAGAAAGGCAAGGTTTTCTACTTTTGTAAAGAGTTACAGTCTCAGAAGCTCTCAGGGACAATTCTACTATGTCCTATTGGGTCACTACTAGTAAAAATTGACTTGAAGGCAGTCAGACTTTTTTTTGCCCACTTTATCTGTACTCTCTATATCCAAATTTATCCCACCTTCTGTATTTTCTTGTTTTGTCTTTTTGAAAGCTGCTCCAAATCTTTCCCCAGAGATAGAATAAAAAGAAAAACATATAATAATACAAGACAAAAACAGAGAAAGCCACTACTTCCAAGCTCTAAACTGTAGGAGGTGACTCTGTGGACAGTGTGCAACAAGGTCTGTAGCAGAAAGGCTGGTGTTCAGTGACCTATTAGGAAGCCGGTGCAGGAACCCAGGTCAGATGTTACAGCCAGTGGAAATCGGAGACCCTGAGTGCCAGTTCTCAAGAAGCAACAGACGCAGGGACAGAGTCTGCCTGCTAACGTGGGAGATCAATCCACCCAAACCCTATCATCTGGTGAA